GTTAAACATTGTGATTTCAACTGCAGCCATAGCTTAACTGGGTTCTATGCCGATTTGCGCTCCCCAGATCAACCCCGCTGACGGGTGATTGCTGTGGCAAAAAGATCGATAGAAATAGCTGAGAGACGTGCGAAACAAAGGACCCGCATGGTGTGGTGGTGAACGCGTTACTCCCCGGAAAGGATAATATCGCGTTCGTTCCCCACCATAGACACCTGCGGTCCAGAGTTTTGCAAATATCTCAGCAACGTTGTGGTTGTATTTCGCTTAGTAACCTGCCATGAAAATTATAGAAGGCAGAAAACAAAACGTTAAACATATAGATATTACTGTTTGCACTTATTGATAACCTTTAAGGTAGAGATGGAATGGATTGACACCGTGCCACCAATAACTATCTTGAAAGGCAACATCACGTTACCCGACTACGTGCTCGTCGATTTCTCAGCAAGTAGCGAATTGCGGGTGATTAACATTTTGTCTATTCACTGTGTTTTGCTCTCCAGATGGACCACATCTTCACTCCACTACTGATGATGCTATGAAGCACAAATATTGCCATTAAGGGCTACTCGCACCCATTATTCGAACTATGGTTCTATATCTAAGACATCCACTATCAACAGTAAAGATAATGATTCAATATGGGTGAGCTAACACGAGGCTGCTTAAAACTTCTGTTTGGCTAACGTTTCGGAGTCTTCGCCTTCCTCAGAACGGGATTGCTTCGAGTCGATTGTCCATAGTTCTCCCTTCTTCCGATGACGGATGTTGGTCGATTCACACTTGAATCCTCCTCTATGGTGCTGTACAAAAAGCACCGCTGAGGGAAGTTCCCTATCCCTAGCGGTGCTGCACTGGATTCAACTCGATGTGATCACGAAGACCCATATAAGAACAAATAAGAATTATGGACAATCAACTCCGATCAATTCGGTTCTGAAGAAGGTGAAGGCGCCGAGACACTAGCCGGATAAAAGTTTTATACCAATCTCGTGTTAATGCAGGCACATAAAAAATAATTGATTGACGTTACCAAGACTTAATGAAAGTCGATCTTTGTCAGCGATTATTGCAATTGTAAAGTTCAAAGTCGTTTCCATTCGCGTTCTCTTTCTTTCTTTTTCTGAGAAGTGAGAAACGCTGATATCATTGAAAGCGTTTTTGTCGGCATTTTTAACCTATATGGATATAATCTATCTATGCTACATAACAAATGCTTTTTAAAAATAAGGTTAATGAATTTATCACTATGACGATGATGTGCTCCACCACGTCGTTGTATGTTGGCTTTGGTATGACTTGTTGATTGGCTGACTAACAAATCTACGTTTTATCCCTTGCGGAGGACATTGTTAGCATTTGACTTACACTGGAAAGAGCGATGATTTCGTCGACCTAGAACCGGAGTAGAACGACTTTGTTAGAGAGCCAGTGTTGCTACACTTCCTGTGCAACGTTTCCACTATCGTCAACCTGCTGCTTTACTCTTTCCAACACTCGAATCATCGAAATATCTAACATAGGATTCTCCATATTTGTTGAAATCTTTTCCTACCTTTGTCAGTTACCAACTATTTTCAAAAATCTGAAAATTTGGTGCGCATATTGGCAGCAAGATATTTTTCTAAATATTAGACTGTCTTCACTTTAGCATTGAAGTCCTATTTTAGCTTTATCCACCAGGCATCTTCAACGAATTGATCGCCACCTTCACTTTTCAACGATTATACGGTTTCTATATTTTACAGGTGCGCTTTTGTTTTCCATCTTTGGGTTAATTTCTTCTCGGCCCGATCCCAAGAACTTCTCATTGGTTTATCGAAAAACTTTTTTTCAGGTCTATGTCCCCGCCTATATTTCTGTGTTCATCTCTTGGGTGAGAAGATTTATTTTGTATTTGAGAAAAATCTTCAATAGCTCTGAATAGCCGCTCTGCTTTTCCTGTATTCAAGGTGTCGTTCTACCTCGGTGCCGAACAAATTCCTTCCCGAACAACCGTCGGCGTGAACTCGTTGCTAGCACTAACGTATGTTCGTCTCATACCTTGTTTTGGTACAACGGTAAAGACCACTATAGAGAAACATAAAAAATAACTCACAACGCTTATCGTTTCCCCTAGTGCTTTCGGTTTGTTTTTTTGATTGAATGCAATCTGGGGGCAGATGACCAGGGAAGAGTACTTGCGTAAGGTTCCGTTATTGAATCTTTATCGTGATTTTCATTAGTCTCTAAGACGAGGATTCCACCTGTCTTTTCTTCCTTTTTTACTTTTTTGACCTCTTCAATAGTGATTACTGATTATAACGATCATATTAGCAGATTCACCAAGTAAGTAAATACAGGTTTAATCCGTAGCTGCATAAGCGAGATAATGAACCAGTAGGAATGACCCAAAAATGTGGAGGCTCTTGTTGGAGTGGATCCTTGCTTATTATGCTTCACATCTATGGCTTCCTGAAATAACGACGTTTTAAATAGATTAGACCAATACACCTCCATTTTAAGCTCGTGCAATGCAGTGGTTGTGCCCTGCAATAGGCATGTGATTGTTGAATCGAAGTCGTATCCTTGCCTAACTAAGCATTCTCTCCGTTCCTCCACTACAGGGTCTGCAAAATCGCACCAGGCATCTCTTGCAATAGCTTCGATTCATAAAGGAGAGCACTTGCATGAACTGGGAACGCTGTAGCAAGGCTATTCCAGGAGAATTAATTTGTCAAGCACTCAACGTCTTTTTTATGAAGAAGACGAAAATCTCTAGTAGTAGCTGAACTGACAGTCAAACCGAGAAACGCAATAAAATGGGCAGAGTCACTTATTGGAGGGTAAATGGGCCAGCACGAATTCACATGAACTCGTGGCGAGCAAGGCCGATGTCTAGGAATCAAACAGATGCCGCAAATGCAGGGGCTGTAACTGCTAACATGGTGTCATCACATTTGGAAATATATTAAGAACACTTAAGGTGCTATCAATGTATTCCAATAAGAAATAAAATCCAAAGTTATCCAATGAACCGAAAATTATATCAAGTATGATCTTGTAGATGCAATGTAGTTTTCCGGAAAAGTAACGACATCGACAACATCTTCCAAAATTTTGTTTTGAGTTTGAATCGGTAGAGGAGATCTATTAAGAAAGAGTAAAAGCGTAGTTTACGTATCAAAGTTTTCCTGTTTTTTCTTATAAGCCTTTTTCTCTTTTGCACTCTTCTTCTATTTATCACTTGCTATTTTCTCCGTAAAATTGTGATTTATTACACTACGACTATACTTACTGTGATAAGTGATAAGCGTAGAGAGTTTGTCGTAATTCCTCATCAGTTAGATGTGGAGATAACGAAAAAGCATCTCGAGGATGCTTCGCTTTATCGCCCATCATCTGAGGAGGAATTCAAAAGTAAATACCGAAAACTAAACCACGAATGGGCCAAAATGGCAAGGGCTGCTGGTTTAAAACCATCAGTTATCTCTCAACTTAAAGTTGACTTACCAACATGCCGCGTCTTCTACTTATTTATAAAAACTCATAAGTTAGTATCCAGCGATGATCTTGCGTCTACCGATCCATCACTATTTAAGGTTAGACCTATCATTAGCTGTGTAGACGGGCCAACGGACAGGATAACATGGTTTTTAACCCTAATATTTAACCAGTTGTTGAAACACATTCCAGCCCATTTTACGAATACCCAGATGTTTCTAGATCGTCTACATACTGAGCAGTCCAGCAGCGCGTACGTGATGGAGACCTTCGACGTTACCGCCCTTTATACAAACGTGTCGAATGACTCCGCAATGCAAGCCACATTCGAACTCCTTACACAACACGAAGGAGAAATAAACATGTATGGCTTCAGGATAGAGCACCTGATGGCACTCTTAAAAGAATGCTTGAACTGCTCAATCTTCAGATGGTTCGGAAAGTACTACGCTCAAATAAGAGGGTTGGCAATGGGACAACGACTGGCTCCAAGCCTTGCCATTGCATTTATGTCTAAGGTGAAAGCACCGGTGACTGATCTCGGGCCGCTACTCTACTGTAGGTATGTAGACGACTGCTTTGTCCTTTGCTCAACACAACAGGAATTGGACAAATGCTTCGAATTGTTAAACGCACAGTCAGAGTATATCAAGTTCACCCGAGAAAAGCTGAAAGGAAAATGGCTTCCATTTTTGAACGTACAAATTCACCTATCAGAAAATGGCTACATTACAAAATGGTACCGAAAGCCAAGTAGTAAAAATATCTTGGTTCATTACCTCTCCTCTCACCCCTCTCACACGAAAAGGGCGCTTATAAGAAACATGTTTCGAACAGCAACCAACGTGTGCACGGGAAGAGAGCAGAGAGAGGAGTCACGGAACTTAGCACGGCAAATAGCCATTTCTAATGNGTCTAAGGTGGAAGCACCGGTGACTGATCTCGGGCCGCTACTCTACTGTAGGTATGTAGACGACTGCTTTGTCCTTTGCTCAACACAACAGGAATTGGACAAATGCTTCGAATTGTTAAACGCACAGTCAGAGTATATCAAGTTCACCCGAGAAAAGCTGAAAGGAAAATGGCTTCCATTTTTGAACGTACAAATTCACCTATCAGAAAATGGCTACATTACAAAATGGTACCGAAAGCCAAGTAGTAAAAATATCTTGGTTCATTACCTCTCCTCTCACCCCTCTCACACGAAAAGGGCGCTTATAAGAAACATGTTTCGAACAGCAACCAACGTGTGCACGGGAAGAGAGCAGAGAGAGGAGTCACGGAACTTAGCACGGCAAATAGCCATTTCTAATGGCTACGAAACTGTAGCTCAGAATAGGTGTAGAGGAAATCGTAGGCCTCCAAACGACAACTCTAGCGATAGAAGGGTCCCGTTTAACCTACCCTTCATCTTAAATGATATAAGTACAGCCATAAAACGCTGCTTAAGAAGGGCGGGCTTAGAGAATTCGGTGAGCGTAGTTGAAATACCACCGAGTAATCTTAAGCGCCAGCTAGTTCGCAACCGCCTGTATGACCGTCTATGTGCAACTCAAAATTGCATAATTTGCCCCAGTGGTAGAGACGGTGATTGCATGAGCTCGGGCATAGTTTATCTGATCTCCTGTAAGACGTGTGGTGACGAATACATTGGCGAAACGGGTAGACCCCTCTGTGTCCGCATGAAAGAACACCTAGCCGACAAAAATAGACCAAATACCCCGCTAGGCACGCATAGGACCCAGAGACATAACGGGGACGACTTCGAAGTATGTGTCACGATCCTCGCACGCGAAAACACAGGCGCGAAAAACTCTCGAGGCACTCTGGATTAATTCCAGAAATCCGAAAATGAACCGCAGGGAAGAATGCCTCATTATCACGCGTGATATAGGGCAGTATATAAAACTGCTTTTCTGATGTGAGGGGCACATTATACTTCCACGTGATTTCTGTGCGGTTGGTCTCTACGTGACATACTTAGTGGAAACCTCATAGGAAGCGGTGAGTGTGCAAAGCTGTGTTCAAAGTGATTGAAATCTTGGTTTGGGGTTTCTTTNCACAGGCGCGAAAAACTCTCGAGGCACTCTGGATTAATTCCAGAAATCCGAAAATGAACCGCAGGGAAGAATGCCTCATTATCACGCGTGATATAGGGCAGTATATAAAACTGCTTTTCTGATGTGAGGGGCACATTATACTTCCACGTGATTTCTGTGCGGTTGGTCTCTACGTGACATACTTAGTGGAAACCTCATAGGAAGCGGTGAGTGTGCAAAGCTGTGTTCAAAGTGATTGAAATCTTGGTCTAGGGTTTCTTTGTTTGGTTATGGAGGCGTCTGGCCGAGTAGATTGCTATCAACTTGACCTTTCCAGGCTCTGAGGAAGGCGAAATCCGCCGAAACGTCAGCTTAATCGTGAACAAAGAATAATAACACCTCGCGTTTGCTCAACAAAAATACGAAGAAAATCACTATACTTACTGTTCAGGTTTCAATTCGGTTCGGTCGTCAACAACTTGCCAAAGACCAGTGATGTAAAAGGTTCGTTGAATCAGGTGCCAATCGCAAGTCTGAGAGAATCACAGCTTCTTCGTCGAGACATGTTGAACAGCACGTAGGGATGTCCATATGCTCATCGACTAGTTAACCATTTCATACAACGGGGGCAGGAACCAGTATTTGAGCAAGTAAATGTGGTGGTGAAGGGATAGTTAACTCTTAGAATACCAAGTTGTTGATGAGTATGGCCAATGTCGATGTTGTTCAGCGATCGACGTCTGGATCCTCAGCTCGATGGCGTTCATCTTCGCCTCTCTCATCGAACTTGCCGTCGTCGGCTACCTGACAAGGAACGGCCATCACGCCTCCATCAAGTGTGTCGTTGTTTCTTGTTATTTTCCTCGTTTTTCCAGCACTTTTCCATCGATCCTTCATTATTATTTTGATTACTACTATTGTCATATCATTGATACTATTATTCCTGTTATTTGTCGCTGTCAACTATTGCTACTAATCTCTGTCATTATTTTGAAGCTGACCGTCATTTAACCTCGGTGCTATAATAATCAACATTTGTTTATATTGTTGAGCTTACACGAGATTGATATGAGATATTTATTCTGCTAACGTTTCGTCGTCTTCATTTTCATCAGAACCGACGATCCTTGTCGATCGTCCATAGTTGTTCCTCTTCTCGATGTGGCGTCTTCGTCTCGCATCGAACCGGATCTTCCTCAGTTGAGCACTTCGAATAAGCGTTCCTTGGAGTCTCGAGGTCGGTCAAGGCAATGTCTGCCCTAGGTTGTCACCACTACAAGCAGTCGTCGCCCTTGTGGATCAGAGGAGCATTTGCTACCATGGACTAATTGATACCAGGACGGTGGCGGATCCTGGCATTGGTTTACTCTCAGCTGGGCTTCCTAATAGAAAAGCTCCGGGCTCCTTCTCAGCTTGGGAAACCGTGCTGGGGTGATGAATCTCCCAGCTAAACATCGAAGCCCGACGCCCAGGGACACCACCCAGTCACGATGAGGCAGTAAACCGTTTGGAGGCACTATTATTAATTATTGCTGTCTTATTTCTGTTATTGTCAATTGTTTGCTATTTATGATTTGCTATTATGATTATTTCTGATCATTGCTATCATTATTATTACTAATTTTTGTTATTATCAATTATTACTTCTATGCTTGTGGACATTCCTGTCTTTTTATTTCTCTCGCCCTCTTAAATCAATTTTACAAGCAATAATAATAACAGTGATAACATTATTAATAATAATGGTTGATGGTGATAACAATAGTAATGGTTTGCTAGTTTACTTATTTTGCTTTACTTAAAGTTTTGGTTTGGTAGCTTAAGGGTGGTATTAAAAAATGGTAATTCTGCTTAAGAAATTCTTTACTGCGTTCTTGAGCCAGAGGATGTGTAGGTCATTCGTTAGAGGTGCTCTCCAATTCACATTCAGTCCCTGATTCGATCCCTTGTTCCTGCCTGATCAACCCTGTTATCCTTCCAAGGTCGCAAAGTTACTATAACAGCTGTCTGGGAGGGTATAACTCGATGGATATATTTTTACGCCCGCGGAAGTCATTGCAAAGGGAAATGTGCATTCAATCACTTCTACGAGTCCCGATAAAATCGAATCCATGACGCATGCCGAAAAATTGATGAACAACGAACGCTTCATATTCTCATGCACTTGCATTTGTAGCACAGTTCTCGCTTCTTCAAACCGACTTTCCTTTCGCGTGTGGAAAGGCACCGACTGCCTTTTCAACTTTACTCATTTTACTCTCCACTATGCTCTGTGTGGGATAAGTCCTATCCGTAAAGAATACAACTGAATGGGAAGTATGTTGTGCCCTATTTCTTTCATTCGCTTCTTACCACCTCGCCATGGCATCCATTCACTTCAGACGACATGATGGGAACACATCCAGCTTATAGAACCATTGGCTGGAAAAGATGTACCTCCACCCGTATGCAGGCAGCATATAAGGATGGCTTTCTTACTGCGGCCATAGCACATCTCTATTGCTTTTCCTTGCATGTACTGATTGCACCGACTACTTTGCACTGACCTATTACACTGACCTATTATCTTTATGAAGGTTCAGTTTTCCCGTAGTGTACGACTTTTAAAATCAAAGTACTCCTATCCCCTGCAACTTTAACAGATCACGTTTAGGCCTTATTTATATGACAACTCAATTGAGCTAAAAACTTCGTCTTCGTCAAAATGCCTAGTTCGGCTTCGTTTGGAAACATTCAAGTTAAACGCATTTCGAAGGCTTTTACGTGGTTAAATAAAGCACGTCTTGATGTATTTCCTTCTCAAATAAAGCTCGAGTAGACCTTGGCAGATTGAAAACGCTTCGCATTCTTTAACTCCATAGTGGAGGAACGCACGTAAAGATGCTTTATTGAAAAATGTTCGCTTCTTGTAAAAATAACGAGAGCTTGTGGCACAGTGGTCGGAGGCGCCGTACAACAGACACGTGGAATCGGTCCCCATTTTTATGGCCCACCAAGCCCACTGTTCCCCTGGGGTCGACAAATTGGTATCAGACTTGTCTGGAAGGATAGCAGCGGTGGCTCGGTACATCGGTAAGTCACTGCGAGTCAGTGTAAAAGCTAGATATGCATTCAATCACCTGCAAACGATGCCTCTCTCGAGGATTGATCAACGTGGAGAGCTTTATCTTTTTTTATCCTTGTAAGAACAACTGAGTATACTGGAATTCGGAAATCATGATATAACCGTTATAAAAAGGATTTGTGGTTCACAGTGTGGAAAATACGAAAGGTCCCACATGACCTCGTACTGTGGTCAAAAATTCTCAAGTGCTTCTTAGCAGTTTTATGATTTTCTCATGGTATATCAGCACTTCTGTCAACTCTCCGCTCTTTATTTACAGTTGAAGTTTACTTTCTTAGCCGTCACTTCTAAATGAATGCGATAAAAAAAATGCTATTCAACGTTTTTAGTGGGAGCACCTTCCCCCGATACCGACAGTTACTCTGTTTTTTCCATTTTCAGATGCCACTGTTCGTGGCTGTGTACGAAATGTCGTGAATGGACCGCAGTGAAACTGGATAGGGTGCGGAATCACTGTATTTCAATATAATATTGCTCTTCAGTCTCCGAATCAATACTCTTTCTTACTTCTTCTCGAGTAACCAATTCTACTATGAATCGAATCGATCATCTCTTTCAGGCATCATCAGTGATATTTCCAACTTGCTTCTTCTTTTTTAACATATGGTACTGGTTCGTGTTCTTAGGGTGAGTTCTTAGCTTTTAGTTCGAATTCAGTTTCTCAAACTAGCATTCCTCATGTCTGGAGTTAGCGAAACGCTCACTGACATTTCATGATGGCTCATATGTTCAAAATTTTCATGAAAGTGCAACTGGTTGATTCCAGCGCGATTTCTATGTGGTTTTATTGCGTCAAAAATGTCTTAGTGTCATATCTTATATAAGGTCAGTAGCTTCCATACTGCAGATGTCGTGCTTAACATAGTTCAAGCCACTTATCACAAGTTATAAAAACCAAGCACTAGGACGGATTGCACTGGTAGAAAAACTCAGACTTGTAGGCGAATTGGAGATGATACACGTTTCTGCTGTACGATTGCAAAAAAATATGTATAGATCCTGCGACGATTCTTTGCTTATTGTACAAACAAAATGACAAAGAAATTTGCTTCTGATTATACGAATACTGTGATGTCTCTTCTCTGAGTACATCTCAGATAGTACCTATTGATGAGCTCAGTGCTCCTCGCAAAATGCGAAAAATTGTAGGTAGTCGCTAGTATTTTATCCGGTAGTTCTGTTCTCCACCGCAGATTTAAATACTGCGTAGGTGTGACTTTCTCTTGAATGTCGTGTTAGCAGAAGAGCATTCTTAAATTACCACCACATGCGGTCTCTCATCCCAATGGATCGTAGGAAGTCGGCTCTAGTTTGTTTCTGTATGCTTTCGATCGCAACTCCAATCTTAAGGGATGAAAAGCTCTGGGCGTTGATCAATCCCTGAGGGATGCGTCATGCATTCGACTTCATTAAGTATCGCTCGAGGTGATTGAATGCATATCTGGCCTTTACAATGACTCGTGGTGGCCTACCGATGTATCGAGCCAGTGCTGCTATCCTCTCAAACAAGTCTGGCACCACTTTGCCGACCCCAGACGGAGGGAAGACTTGGTGGGTCATAGGCGCGGGGATTGATTCCGTGTGTGTGTCACAGTAGCGCCTCCAAGCACTGCGCCACACGCGCCCAACTCGAATCTTAGAGGGGATGAATACGAGTGGGTTGTTTCCAGAGGATATTTCTGGTTCAGAACGGAAATTGTCGAAGAAAAAATTTGGTTCAGGGCGTCTTCGTTAGCAGCTGAATTTAGCAGTTGAATATTCTGATAGCACTTCTATACAGCAGTTCTGTTTCGGAATGCTTCCTACATTTTTTCTTTCTACTTGTACCTTGTTTTATCCCCCTGCATGGATCTTCTACAACTGGCATTTGTCAGAAACCATTTTAGGTGTGGAGAAATAGGATTAAGTCTCACCTTTCTTCTGTTTTCTGGTAACTACGTAGTGGCTTAAGAGACTTGGTCTAAACTTCTAATTTGCGAAACTGAGATACGTTAGGCATAACCTTTAAGTTCACCGACGAAGTTTCTAGACTTCGGTAGGGTCTTTCCTAATCTTTTAGTTATATGAGTACAGGATTTCATTCTGAATCAAACGCGACTAGAAACTCATTATTAGAACAAGAAGGATTTAAGCGACTTGTATTCTTCTTTTTGGACGATGATAATAGTTCTTTCCCAATAGTAAATCGGATCCTCCAATGCATTCAGAAGATGATGAGCAGATCCAGGTCAGAATGATGGCACTAGCAGAGTGCAAAGAGATAGCATCTTGTATTTGTGTTAGCGTGGTCGATTCCCGAATGAGCCGTAGCGTTAGTGGACACCCATGTCCAGTTGTTGTCTTCTTAAACGTAGAGGAATGAATCCCCATAGACGCGTGGTTCATATGAGTTCTGTAAGAAAGTTTTCATTCCGTTTTGATGTCTTACTCCAAACTTTCCTATTCTGTAATCGCTGTCGTTGGTCTTTTCTATTCTGTCATTGGAGCTTGAGGCAATAGATTTGTAGAATGACTTATAGCTTCTCCAACCGATTATGGAATGAATCTATCTCTTTCATCAATTGGTTGGAAACAGCTGATGATACTGATCTTCTTTTAATGCGAAGGTTGATGGCGGCAATGGTCAAACCAGATAGTAGGATCTTGTGTAAGACAGCATAATGAGTTGAAGATGGGTGTACGACAAACCTACGCCTTCGCCATTTAATGAGAAAATTGTTCCTTAACGAAGGACTAGGATCTATTCATCTAATTGGCGTAATACCGAACAACATTTCTCCATATGCTTGTTGCCGTGTAGACTCACTCAAGTCACTGCTAGTGTCTTTTGTGTCATAATAACTTTTAAATTCCTTCCCAACCCCTGTTCCATGTCTATGCTCATAAATATGGTTAAATGCATAAGAAAGAACGGGTAAAGTGGAAAATAGCAAATAATTATGCAGTGCCAATAAGTCCAGTTGATTTAAAAGCTATGTTTAAGGAGAAGAAGGATTAATACTGGAGTGTAGCGAAATTCCTACACCTAAGATGGATGTTGAGTCAGTGTGCGGTCTAGGACAAAGGCAGTGTACACTCAAACAAAAAAGTCCATTTATGACTTGACAGTACGTCTGGTTTACCTCAGAACTCGTATGGAAAACTACGGGGATTAATTATACAGTGGACGAATTGTCGTTTCTTACATTTATTAATTGGTAATTTCCACTTGAGTAAGTAGAACAGGTTCTTTAAGCGTTATTGGACCGCTTCTAACGGAGATCTCGTATATGACAGTTAAGTTAGATGCCAAAAAAATGAAATAAGAAGTACTTTAACGAGTGCTCACTCGTGGAAAACGGGCAGAGGTTTTCATAAAATAGCACCAACTGTATCGAGGAGTAGTGAGGTCATACGCACAGGGGCTCTTCAGTTGACTCTTACTGGGCTACTTTGCAACCACAAGCTTTTCAAAGGTCCTTTAAAGTATGGACGTAATACAACCGTTGTACCACATATAGCATTGAGACGACCAACACAGCAAACTACACTCTGTTCTCTTGTTACGTCTGCTAGAGTATTCCCACGAACGCTAACGAATGCGTTTTCTAGATGTTTGTACTTACTTGCTATGTTTATTGACTTAATAGGGAACTAATGCCGCCCTTTAAGATGCAGGTTGTCTGAAGTGATGAATTTTGTGTTTCAGGAAAGTCACCCGAGCTGCTGGATAACAGTTTTCTCTGCAATCGGTTGGCTTCAAGAATTCCACACGGTGATTTTACAACTATGACAGCAGTTTTTTTTGTCCAAATATTTTCAAATATTTTACATGGTTGTAATAAAGGATAATAAATGTCGCATGTCTTAGTATCCCTTTCGTATTTCAAGATTTTTGCAAGGGTAACGTTGAACTGAAGAACGGCATCGAGATGAGAGACTGCGTTCAGAGTCTTGGTGTCGGAAGCGAACTGTTACGTTGCATATGGAGCTACTATGGAGTGGCTTTCTTTAGGTTGCTTACCGTAATTTTTATACTTTATCGACAAGTTTTCCAATGCAGATATTTGTACTGAACATTGGCCGATGAAAGCATTTCTCTATACCTGATAGTTTACAAAAAATCGCTTTTCGAATGTGTTCAGTGGGCTGGTTTAGCACATACAGGACCACGTACACCGAAATGTGTACACACCTCCAAAGTAGGGAAGAGATGTTTTCACCCCACTTCTTGTGTTCCATAGACAGCTTGTTCAACATAGATATTCCAGGCGTGGCTCTCGAAAAGCTATTTTCCAAAACTTAATGGTTTGGAAAAAAAACCTCTTTTGGATGAATTCACTTTGTGACGACAGAATATTGCTGCTGAAAAGAGTGTGCAGCATAGAGAGCATAGTAAGTGAAGGTATGCAGAAATACCTGTGCTTCAACACTGAACACGTTTTGCTATGATAAAATAATAAATCATTAAGGACACTTGTTCGGAAGGGCGTGGTCCTCATGAAGCATGCGCATTTCACGTGCTTCAACCTAAAATAAAAGTGACACTTCAGGAGCGCTACACATTTCCTTATAGCCAGAGAGCGAAAGCTCTAATATTTGATGCTCGTAACATACATTAATGTATAGAAACCAGCACTGTCCGTCACGTGTTAGCCATATAAAATTCAATTTTGCCAGTATCAACTATCGTCCTGTTGGTCGTCGAAGGGCTCGAGTGGGCGCCAGTAAAACTTCCATTTCTCCTTGTCGTGTGCGAGAGTAGACTAGTGAGTTTTGCTCGCTCTAGGGACACTCTGAGCATCATATCTTTCTTCTAGTGCTTTCGTGACGAGCTTTGACCACTAAAGGCTTCTTTGATTTTCGTTTATGCGCATTACGTATCCGGTCCATCTTATCTTAGACAGCTTAGCATGAAGAATAGCATCTTTAATTTCGGATCGTTGACGTTGATGGAGCTTCGGATCCCTTTGCTCACTTACATGATACTGAAGACTCCTAGCACTGCCCTTTCGACTGCTCGTTTAAAAACGTTGAGTGCTCTTTCATTATGCTTATGCAGCAACCAAGTATTCTGACGCATAAGTTAAGGAAGAAGGAATCGTGGAGTCCAAAAGGTGGGCGCGTAAACGACGAAGATTGTTAAAGCCGGTATTGATTCACATCTCTTCAATCGTAGACGTCTTCGGATTGTTAGTTGCTCAAACACGTCGATATTTATGGCTAAACTCATGCTGACGAGAAAACCGACGCCAGCGACTCCTCTGTTGTAGCATAATCCGAGGAACAGTTCATCTCCAATATCATAGACGACGTGAGTAGTGCCTTGCCGTCTCAGCCTGTCCGATGATTCGTGCCTTACCATTGTTAGTACAAATCGTTACCCCTTTGCGATTTAGACTGCCTAGAATGACTTTGAGATTTTACCAGTCCCTCCGTACTCGTCCTACCTAACGTTGCCGTACCCGGGGTTCTTTCGAGATTAGGGAAATGAGGCCAATTTATTCTACCGTGTCTGGTTTTCTCATACCCAGGAGTAGCTTATTGAGCTCCTAACGTGAAGGCACGGTATACCTACGGGTAACTTGCCACTCTCTCCCAGAGTAGACCGTTTCCTCTGCTCACTAACATGTTTTTGAATGCTGATTCAGC